CCGTCTTCGACGACTTTGCAGGTGGGCTGATCTACTCACCTCCCACCGCTGTAGGAGCTGAATCTGCGCCTTACATTATACAGTTGTACAATCATGTAGATCTCTGGAGGGTGGTTGCGTTACTGCAAAATGCTCCAAAGTCAGTCTAATTGAGTCTCAAGCGAACCGTGACATTTGTTTATATTTTCAAGTCGAGCACGCTACGGTGTGTCACTTGAAACCTTTCATTCGCATCCGCTGAGAACAGAGTGGTCTTCCCCGTTTTCCAAGTGGATGTACACGCACCATGTCACGTGGTTCCAAGTCGTATTATCATCTAAGCTAAGATGGTGGCATGTGCATGCAGAATGTACAGTGTGTGCATCTAACTATGTCACCAGCACCGATTGGAATTCATGTTGGTCTACTAGAAACCAACAGTGATACCAGTACTCAGTAGTATTAGCTAAATAGGCTACTGGCTCCAAATTCATTTAGGGGCTGTTGTAGAACGCCATTCCCCTTCACATCTGTATTACAAAGTATCTACATTTTGTAAAGGAGCAGGAGGCACAAAGCCAATGGTTTATTCGATGTGCAAGAAAGTACTCCGAACCATGAGAGCTGATTGTTCAATAGCTGGTGGTGTAGGTGTTAGTGGACATAATAATTATTAAAAGCGTAACTTGAAGTTACTTTGCCCTTTTTACTTTTCTATAGGTTTTTTAGATATTTCCACTTTCTCGGATAATTATACTAGTCCAATCACATGTACATATACATATACATATACATGTACATGTATATACATGTACATGTATATGTATATGTACATGTACATGTAGCAGGCAAACTGGACATGTGCATAGAGTGAAACCTGTCTAAGACGACTACTAAAGGGACCTTCAAAACATGGTCTCTATTACCAGGTGGTCCCCTTATCCAGGGTCAGTTGACTGGAAATGGCATCACTTGGTCCTGGTTTCAATGGTCTTCTTGGACAGGTTGTCGCCTCATCCGAGTGGTCGCCTTGACAGGTTTTACTGCACACATGTACATTTGTACATGTACGTACTCGAAGTACTGTAAAGCGATAAACTTTTGCGGCGCGCAAAATTTGCGTTTTCAAGAATTGCGCCGGTTCATGACGAGAAACTTTTGCGATTTAATCTAATTGCTGAAGTACCTCACAGATAACATTCAACTTCAAGCAGAGCGCATCCGCTCGCGACTCAAACACAAGACACCGTATCAGTGGTAGGTGCTAACAGTACATGATTGTGCAGGGAGGGATTGACTGTCAGCCACGGTGCATGACTGTACACGTGCCGCAGTGCATGACTGTACAGGGGCGCGCAAAATTTGCGTTTTCAAGAATTGCGCCGGTTCATGACGAGAAACTTTTGCGATTTAATCTCTTCAATTGAATCTTGTAGAGTCAAAAATCAATGCACAGAGTAGTTTGCGGTGATTTACATTCGCGAAAGTGTGCTAGTAGCGAAAATAGCAAAATTTAATCTCTAGCGAAAATGTCTTCCTTTACAGTACATGATTGTATAGTAGGCTTACGTGTACATGTAGGTAGGTTGTGCCTGAAGAGCACCACTTACATGTACACAGTGCTTTCCAGGCACAAACATCACCAGGGATACAAACGTATAGAGACGCTCCGTTTCCAGCACGACAAACACCTCGTGAACACCAGATACATGTAGCAGCGTGATCGAGTCAGTGTCGCTCATGGAGGTGCTGAACAAGCGCTGAGGACCGTTGGCCATTCACAAGGTTGTTGCCTCCAAACTATCTAATTCGCAAGCCCGGTGACAACACTGTGAAGAAGAGGTTGGTGCGACGTCGGCGATACTTGGGGAATTGTGTGTTACTCCCTACGTACGAGCTTGCGCTATACGCCTATTTCGTCCTCAGCCTACTCAAGTTCAACTGATGAGGGATGAGTTCCTCGAAACACTGTGTATTGAGCAGGGAGTGGTGCTTTCTTGCAGGTTTGCCGAGTGGAAGGTTCGATGCACTTCCCGTGTCCTCTGGATGGCAGTTGTGAGTCAGTCAGGTGAGAATCCAAGTCGGCAGGAATAGCGCTAGCTCCAACGTAGGGAGTAATACAACAATTCCCCAAGTACTAGTATGGCCGAAGTCGTACCAACCTCTTCTTCACATGTACATTTACATGTACGTATACAGTCATGTATATTGTTCATTTACACAAACAAGGCCGGTCCAGGAAGCTCGAGGTAGAGTGCTCAATGTACGAATGTACAGAGCAGTATACACACACAACAGAGGCGAAAGGCTGTCTAATGATCGCTCCGATGCGTGAAACCTTTTAAAAGTTACAGCTAACACAGCCTTTCACCTCTGTTGTGTGTGTATTGTTCATTTACATGTACATGTAAATGAACCTACCCGGATGTGCCCATTTAGCGAAATTAATAATTATATTCCAGAGGCTTCAGTGCGATCTAGGCCACTTCTCATTAGGTGCACGTACATGTACATGTAAATGCACACGAGTGACTTTTCAGACAGCAGCTCATAGAACAATTAATACGGTAGTATCATAACCTGGGATGAAATACAAGTGAACAGGCATTGTAACAAAACGAACGCAGGGAGGGTTGCTCCCCCCCCCCTCTCCTTCTCTCTCTCACTCTTCCATCTTTCCATCCCTGTGTAACGAACACTGATGTGCATAATGTATATCCCTCCCCTCTATCTCTCATCAATGATGATAGAGGGAGAGAGAGAGAGAGAGAGAGAGAGAGAGAGAGAGCACAGGGACCATTTCTTTCCATGCCTATCTCTCCTCCCCCCCCCCTCCATTCTTTCTCTTGGCTTCCAATGTTCTATCCACATCTCTCTAAAGCTGTACCACAATCATGTACCCACTACTAGCATATTTCTATCTCTTCGGCAATCAATTAGTTTGGGATCTTCATTTGGCCTGAGGAGCATGAGACTTAGATCAGCAGAAAACCACCAGTAGCCTTGTCCACTGTTGTGCTGTGTTCAGTCATGTACATGTACATGTACATGTACATGACTGAACATGTACCTACATTTACAATCACACTTGGAGGGAGTTGTGCCTTGTGGTTGCTAGTTGCTATCTACATTACAATCATGTACATTATAATCATGTACATGTACATGTACATGTACATGAATTTGTGCATTTACATGTACATTTACAATATGCGTGAACTACATGTATAACAATGTTTATCTAATACTGGTTTTGAACCAGTGTTAGGTTATAATTATAATACCATGTACATGTACAATCATGTACATGTACATGTAAATGCACAACTTCATGTACATCGTACTAGTGCAATCCATGGCATGTACTTCTAGTTTCTCTGGCTTCCACTCACAGTCACACAACGCCACAAGTCAAATTAATTGCGAGGGATAGTTTCATTCCATATCATGGCCAGCCTATGAAAACAGAAGCTGATTGTGATAATTCAATGTACATCGTGTACATCGTGTACATCATGTACATGTACATGTGCACGCAGCTCTGTTACTGTGACCTTTGAGCGCTAGTGCATTAGAAGTGGAGGACTCTGCTAAGTGAGTCTGCTTCCTGTTCCTTCAGTGTATGCACTGGTCTTTTTCTGCTTTCAAAAATGCAACATTGTACATGACTGTGCTGTGTATCTGTGTTTCTGTGTCGTCGTCAGATCACTATTATTTTGATCGCACACGACATAGTCATTTGTAGTGTAGCGTACTGTACTGTAGGCCTAGTCTGTGCGTGTACATGTACCAGCAACAACGCAATGAACTTTCCAATCGTCACCGTGAGTTCAAGCGATAATAATTCATTCAGTGTGAAACGAACTCTGCAACAGGCAGTCCGACCTTACAGCTGTTCCGGGGTGGCGCAAAATCGACTCTTCACTTTGGAGTTTGGATAAAAAGGACAACCTCAGCATGATGCGTGTTCCCACTATGCTAGCTGGTAAAATAAAATAATACAATTTTTTTTAATACAAGTCACTACATGTATATATACTCAAGTAGCAATACATGGCGTGCACCATATGCACGTGTATCTACGCTCATGTACATTATAATACTACAATCATCATACATGTATTAGGATTGCAGTAAACATGACGCATTCGACTTGTGCAGGACTATGTTGATGGATGCTGAGCCGCGAACACTAAAACACTTCACCGGTACCAGCAGAATGATAATAGTCCACAGCTGGCCTGGCCGAGCCTGCACTCACACAATAATAACGGCATGCCTAGCGAAGACCCGGCCCAGAAAACAATATTCGTGACGAGTCGAGTAGGACTAGTGGCAGTAGTGGCAGTAGTGGCAGTAGTGCCGCTGGGAGGACATCATACTACCTGTACATGTATAGCCCTAGTAGTGTTAGAGCTAGAGCCAGTAGAGGCGCTGCCGAGTCGATAAAAAACACTCGCCAATCTGGCACGCATCACAGATATATCTGTCCGCCAGTTGAGAGTTTCAGCAGATTCTATAACGGAGTGGAGCGCAAGACGTCCTTTTGTTGCAAGTACTGTCCCCGGCCCCGATCAACTCAGTATGAAACACGATAGATCTAGCCCCAACCAACACTGAAACAGGTTGGTGAGTAGAGATAAAAGCAGCAAATCGTCTTCGTATACTCTTTAGTTGACTTTGGCGAGATTGTTGTCAAGCCGCACCGGGTGATGTGCTTGGATTGGATAGTAAGCAGCGTAGCAAGGTAGTCATTGCGTGACTCGGAACATGGGGCAAGCGGAAGGAAGCCTGTCCGGACCAACACCAGCAGTGGAGATGCATCCTGCCCGTCACATGACGGAAGTCAGTTTCGCTTCAGTAGGATCATACTCCTGCTCAGACTCGGATGACTACGCCATTATCGACCTTTGTGATGGCGACGTGTTCCTGGAGTTCGGACGCCAGCCGATTGCAGATCCACCGTTGAACACAGTCGACACGCTGCCAAGGAGCGCACTGCAAGACCTACTGAAAAGAACGGAGGTCTGTCTGGATCTACAAGACCTAAGGCGAATGAGAGAACGTCTCTCGAGCATTGCATCTAGGAATCAGCAGACGGGAGACCAATGGTAAGTCCGGCGGGTCACTACTGAAGCATATTAATTATTGTAGTGGAAAAATTACGAAATGGAAACCCATGCAAGGACCCCACCAGTCTCAAACATAATCACGAATCCGAATATGCAGACTGTGACTATGAACTCCCCAAACAAATTGTGTTGAAGGCTCCACTGCAGCTATAAAATTTATGGTTGATTCATATTGTGGACAATACAGGAACACACCTGGAAATATGACAGTAAATACACACCTGCCCTCACGCGCTCTCTAAGCTGCAATTTACTCTGGCACAGAGCTCTCCTTCTCACCGCCACCACCATGAGTTCCTAGAGAGCGCCGTTGGGCAGCCGTGTATTTACAGCCATATTGCCGGGTGTGTATTTACCACCGTATTGAATTAACCATCCAGGCACTAGGTTTCGACTCACCCGCAGACGCTGCGTCCTTTATGTTCAGATGTTTCAAAGCTTTTGGGCTTCCCCGCATGGCATTTCAGACTCGTGGGCTTCTTGAAAGGGTCTCGGCATGTATATTGCACCTTAGCAAAGTTTCAGGTTTGGTCTGTAAAAGGAAAGCCAGACCAAACCAAAATTGAAATAATTTTATTCTTTTGCAGGGGGGTATCGGTCGGTTCCACTCTGACAGACAACTTTGCTTCTTGATAATCGAGAATATTCACGGTTCCCAAGAGATTCGGCTGGAGACCGAGTTTTCCGCAGGCGCGCTACCAACCACCCTCTATGGATCAAGGCATACTCATTTACAGTAAAACCTGTAACTGAAGACCATCGCGACTAGCGACCGGCCTGGTAATACCGACCACTGCTCCAGGAACGGACGGTATCACATTCACATTATGGTTGTGCGGTGCAAACCTCTAACTAAAGACCACCTGCCATTAAAGGCCGCTTTCTCCGGGCCCAAGGGGTGGTCGCTAGTCACAGGTTTCAATGTACTATAGCCTAGTATAGGAACATCTCGACCTCATTTTTGGTAGCATCATCTCCATCCATGCAAATACCACAATGTCATAGTATAGATATAGATTGGTATGCTGAGAGACAGCAGGTCTCATCTATTGGCCTGTAACTTCGCTTGAGATGATTGCACGACACCATAATAATATGATGTACAGTGCACACGAGAGGTGATTCCTTGGGCATGATAGTGGAAATAGGACAGTATATGAGCGAGGTACAACATAACAAACTCATCGACCCACAGTAGGCAATTGACGAGAATGATCTTATCCATAATATTCAGATGTATTCAAGGTCGGCGTCAGAAATTGGGGGTTTAGTGTTTTGCATTCTCCATTAGATCACCGTAAATTGACGACACAACTTCAGCTTGCTAATACAGTTGTAATATAGTGTATTCCCAAACCAGATTTGTCACGCTATCAGGATTGTTAGGTACCTCTTCCCATACATTCTACAACCTTTTCCAAGCTGGCCTGCATGCACCCTCCTACTCACCTTTTGTCTTCTTTTGTCACCTTTTGTTGAAGAAGTAGCTAACAGGATTAACACGTCTTTTGCAGATCATTTTTAATTTTTTTAATGTAATCACACACAACCCTTGCTCAAAATATTATAGCCGGAAGTGACGGTAGACGCCATACAATCCACATTGTTAACATTGGGCATTGATTATGCAGCTTGCATGGCTCTCTTTAGAACACAATGCAGAGTCATGCATTTGGATCTCAGATTGGTATGAAAGTTCTGCATGCATCTACATGCATCGTAATTGTCATGTTTATTAGTGCATCAACCTGCACATCTGTTCAAGTTGTACCCACAACACCTATAGGCTGTAGTTACCCCGGTGAATAGCTAACTAGATCCATCAATAGCATCTATGAGCGTCGTCTTTGTTGTGGGACACGGGCAGTACTTGAAACTATGAATCCTGAAACAAATTAAACCACAAATCACTATAAATTTGGTGCCACAAAGGGGCAAGATGAGGAAAGTTGGCACTGAAAGTTGAATTGTGCTAGATCACAGACTGCTTGCAGACAAGGTGTTGTATCGTTTAACTGTTTGTTTTTACCTTAAAGTCTACCATAGCCATGGAGATGGGTGGGCAAACGATTCTTTGTTGCTCTTTAATGGTGTGGTTGGCAACCACACATATCTGTTCGAAAGGCTGGCAATTGTAGTGCTTTCTGTGGTGTTTAGCGCAAAGCTGACCCAGTCCAATGTATTATTAGTTGCTCCTCTTTGCACTTTCCTGTTTTCTTGTCTTACATTGACGTAAGAAGTCGTACAAGACATGCAGCGGGGGAAGGCATCAAGTGTTTCAAGCAGCCGTTTACTAAAAATGCTGCGAGAATGAACACATCAGAGGTGTCGGCTATAAACCAAGCTCTACAAAGGAAGTCCATTTTGTCACTCGTTGTGTCGAACATGAACTAAATTTGCGAATCACATACGGTACATGTGTGCTTCCCGGTCTCGTGATCGTGTACTGCATGATGTTGACACACGCCTCTGTAAAGTGTCGAGCTGTTGGACTACGTTGTTGGCCCAGGGAGCATTTTTGAGGCTCCACGGAGTGTCGGTGCTCTTGAAACTATCCGGAAGGTGAAGAGCTTGACAGTGAGTACCATAGCTGCCAAATACCATGGTACGGAGAGGCCACTTGCAATCCAGACCATGTGGCTTCTTCGAGTACAAAACACATGATTGTAGTAGAAGTACATGTAGTAGTGGTAGTTACCCTGGCCTATCTGCAGAAAGGTATGCGCTTGCACTAATGTAGGCTGACACGTCCATGTACATCTAAACGCCGTTGAAGGGCAATCTTCTTTCTGTGCTCAATGTATTGTTGCAAATCAAACGCGTGTAGCCCTAACAATGCCTATCTGCTGGGCTCAGTACCCGACGCCAAACGTTTTGCACCCCTGGATATCATGCTAAGAGTAAGAGCCCTTCAGAGAATGCCATGCAAGTAATTATCTTGGTTGGACTCAGAGTCGCCGATTTTGGGCTATGCGGTGAAAGATGCCTTGCGGAACGCAATAAGTCGAATTGAGAAAAAAACAATAAAATAACAAGCCAAAGTTTCATCTCCAATGGAATTCAAATCCAAGCTTGATCACACACAGGCATGCCGAACACGGTACAACCTAAGCCACATGTTCTCCACTTTCTTGAAGTTGTAACCAAGAGCACACAAGATATCTACAGAGTTCATTGTTCACAGTAGCGCGTGACAGCAGAAATCAAAGCACAATGGTCTCGTGTGCGTTTATTTGCCAGGTATTCAGCGCCAAGGCTTGTTCAAGCCCCAAAGTAAATTTCTTCATTCCTTTCCCAAAACTTCAATGCAGCTTTGTGCTTTGACTTGACCTCTTTGCAGCACATTGTACTTATGTGTTGCACTTGGCTGGTCTGCCGAAAGGCCCTACATACATTCCTTCATTGTTTTCTTTCACTGTGCGATGTTCCTCCGCAGTGCAAGTGATGCCGCCATGAGGTTGGAAGGTGCCAATTTGCAACGCAGCATGACAAAACTGCTCAGAGCGTGTGTGACGAATAGAGTTGTGGACGGGGAGCAAGCTGTGCGGGCCTGCGATTGCTGCAGCCAGCACAGCGTTCTCGTGAACGTGGCACTACCCAGCGGCACAAAGTCAGTAAGTGCTGAAACACTCACTTAAATTCGGGCTTCTCTTTACCGGCAGTCGCTCTGGTCAGGATAGACGAATGGCGCTTGTGTGGGTGTGAATCCGGAAGGATATGTTCGCGGACTGTTGTTGCATGGCTGTCACTTGTAGGAGGTATTGAGCTGTCAAATAAAACCGTTGGCTATTCAATCTCAAAATCACAACGGAGTTTTGGCCAATTGATAGCTTGGTTGCTCTAGATATATCGGACTGAAGCAGGAGATACAGACACAGAGACCCTAGTGCGACCTCAACTAACAGCTGTGGGAAAGTCCGTCTAGCACTTGTGTGGAACGGCGTGTGGTTTGCTGTTGCGATTTCCTCGTTCAGGCAACGTTCATTGGACTATGCAGTAAATGCTATATGAAAGCTGGAATGGAGGAGCCACTTACCGGAGGGGATATGCTGATGATGGTGGACTTTCTAATGCAGTTGTTCGGCGAAAAGGTGAGTTCAAAGAGAGTGCGCTGACCATCACATGCTCCAGCGGGAAACAGATTTTCGTAAGCAAGGAATCCTCGCGACAACATAATAATTATGGTAACCACACACTGATACCAGTGCATGTCTGCGCAATACTCTACTCGGTGTGCATAGTAGGTGTGTGTGTGGGGGGGGGGGGGGACCGGAATGACATGTGTGCTGTGGATAAGCATACTGAGCTAGGTCACCTGACATGCCTCAAACGCATAATTATCAGCCTATTTAGTTGTATTTTCATTGTGCAGGGCAACCAGTTGAATCCAGAGGATAGATGAAAGCTGTAGCACTTGCACTATGCTCATTTGTGCCGCTCAGGCGTGATTCTCAGCAATTGAGTCTAACCTTCCCTCTGGTATTCATCACACACCATACATTGTTTCAGAACAGCGATGCTGCTCAGTCGGAGGACGGTGAATGCGAGCAATCACGCGCCTCCAGTGACTCAGGAACATCAAAATTGCTGATGAGTTTCGCCGTGAGTGATGTTTGGCCCGGGCCTCAAAATAATAATATCAGGCTTTGTCCCCTCTTAATACTAGTGCTTGCCCACGACACAGTATTATTGAAATTACCCTAACACGCAAATTCAACGGGAGCATTTTCATCAAGGCCCTTAAACAATATTTCATAACTACATGTCACAATGTTATTCAACTGAGGTATAAAAACAAACGTGCAGCTCAATGAGATAAATCCCGTGAGTCAAGGTTACGCCCGGCAACAGTTTGGTATATTGTGTCTGCAGGCTGCAAACGCCTGGGGCAGCATAGCGTGTATGTGCGCGTGTGTGTGTGTGTAAGTGTCTGTCTGTATGTGTGTTATGAGTTTATGTGTGTGAGTGCGTGTGTGTGTGTGTAAGTGGAGATTGCTTACGACTAGACTGCAGCTACTTTATGGAATTCGCAAAACTGTTCATACAAGTACTTCCTTGGAGATTAAGCATAATTATGGATGATACAACTTGCGCTTAATCAGTCTGCCACTCCAACTCAATCAAAACTTTAATTGAGCTAAGAACATCCTTTCATCCTGAACTGCCACCGAACTGAACTGCGCGATTGTGTTGTTTATTTTGTGGGTTGTCAGAGCAACAAAGTGACAAGAATGGCTGGCAAAATTGAGGTGAGAACGTTCAGGACGTACCAGGACCCAAACTGTGGCAATCTACATTGTGTGTGTATTCATTTATGTCTGTGTATACTAAGAACGTTGTATACATCACGCAACTGTTTACTATCAGTGGAATTAAGTGTCGAGTTTAGATCATTAGGAGAATAATAAACAGATCCAGAACAACATAATTATGGATGTAACATTTGTATAGCCAATTCTAGCACATTCAACTGATGAATGTATACCACATCAGAGGTCCTTTGGTAGTAGTTACTTCGCGAAGTGTGTGGGAACATTGAGGGTTGCTTTCCACCAGACCTTGTTCCATCAGAGAAAGAGTGAGTTTCCAAGTCTGGCGAAACGGCTAAGCGGTCTCTGAGATGCCAGCTACGCAATAGCGCAGTGGTTTGATCATCATTGCATTATTATCAATATTCCCAGTCTTGAATCCCCGTGAATAAAGGTTTTTCACACTTTTTCCCCTTTTCAACTACCTGCACTGATGAACACTCTATTACTAGCTCGGCTCGTAACTCGCAACAAATAATCGTACAAGGATTCGATCAGAATACTCGCTCCCGCACTCGCACGTATGCAGTAAAATTCAGCAGCCTCAGAGCAACAATCAATGGCCACTGAATTTGGAGACGAGATATTCCAACTCACCAACCAATCTTAAAATAGACGAGAAAGTACTCATGTTGTGTTACAAGTTCATTTTTGCCTTTACCAGTAAAATCCTTCTCATGAGATGGCAACGAAACCGTATTTGTATTTGTATTATGGATTCTCCACAGGCCTTAGCCTAAATCGAGGGAGTCTCCATTTATAGGATACCGCACCATAGCCGAAGGTGTATGTATGTGTGTGCGTTTGTGTGTGTATGTGTGTGTATGTTGAATGCGCAACTCACCATACGTATTGTGTTCAAGCAATAAACCTAAGCAAGTGGCCACCTGTCTTGACAGTCTTGGCTTGTGTCAGGTTTAGCCTTTATGGGCAATTGATGGGAGATGTACAATATTTATGCACCAGTGCCTCTGTTCCGTTTTAGTGGCTGCATTGGCGCTTTAGCACGTTATGATTGTCGCGTTCCTACGGATGGCGGGCATGTCAATCTGACTGAGTTTGATGCGAGCTTGGCAATTCTATTTCATTTGATGTTTTCATTCCCTTTGTTGGATACTCAGGCGCATCTAAGCCATGATGCTGCCAAGAAGACGTTATCTATGGCACTGTTGCGAGTGTACCTCAACAGCTACACGAATCTATTCCGTGGAACGCTGCAGGTGCAAGCTTGCCTCCTGCGTGACGGCTCTAGGTTAGTCGTGCCTGCCTGTCTTTTCACACAATGTGGATATAAACACGTGTCTCAAAATGCGAAGACTCCACTGTAGCCATCCACTATATCCTGAATTCCTGAAGATTGGCATTGCCCGAAAATTCGAAAATTTTTAATATCTCTTTTTCTTTTAGTGATTTGTGTAGCCCAGAGACCGTTTGGAAAGTGTTGTGAAGATGTATGGATATAGTGGATATAAACGATGAAAATAGTGTATACAATTGAGGGGACAAACTACATTTTTAGATAAACACAGGAGAATATGTGTGGGCAAACCTATACTACATGTTACCCGAAAACTGAAGATTGGACCATTCGTGATAACAGTTGACTACAGCACTCTTTGGGGAGCTTTGTCCGACATGGCGACACAGGCAAGTGATGCAATGGAGAGGATTACAAGACAGCGTTTCTCCAGTACTGGTACTTTCTGAAGCAAAATTACACGTATTGCCGCCGTTATACGTATCTGTGTTCTTGTGTCCTTGGCATGGTTCCTTTGTAGATCAGAGGAAATCCGTCTTTCTAAGCCAGAAGAGATTCGTTCGTCCGGAAAGATAAAGTGGACGCAGTTGCTCGAATGGAGTGGTATTGATTCAGAAGAGGTGAGTGACTCAAGATATGAGTTTTAAAACTGTTAGGAACAAGGAAGATGTAGCGACTCGTTGTATTGTTGTTTGTAATATTTGTTATTTTGAGATCACTTTAGATTTTGGACCGCTCCAGTGCCTGCTCATGGTCGCTGATTAGGTTAAGGGAGATGGTGTTGCCTGATGATTGCAAGAGAATGAAACTTGAAGTAGCAGCAAACAAGCCTTGATTGTCCTTGTTGTTCTGTTCTGTTTTGTAGGTTGAGGGAGATGAAGATTTACCGTCATATTTTATAGAAAAGAAAAAGGACCAAAGAACTACAAGTTACGCTCTAATGGCCACTAACACCACCAGTTCCTTGGTCGTTTTTTTCTTTTCTATAAACAAATACCGGTTTAGTCTTTATTTCTCCCAACCTAATCACCTAACCTAATCTCCCCCAACGGAAGTCAGGTGTTTGGTCATTTTATTTTCTATACATTTTTTCCTTGGCTCTCCATCCGGCATAATAATTATGTTTCTTCATCCACATGTATGTGTCTAGCTGCCCTGTCTGAAGCTGGAGATGAGCGTGTGGCGGAACAAACCAATGTGCTTGGTGGGTGTGGTAAGTATTTCACTCATAATTTGACACGCATATACCACTTGTGAACATAGCGCAGCCTGTAGTAAGCTAGCAACTCTTCCTGTACCGAATAACCGCCCAAAACGACAGATCAAAACGCTCAACACAGCACATAAGGAGTCCATGTTTAAGCTGAGTAGATATGAGTTTGATCACCCATCAAATATTCACTCCTTGAGACAGGACACACATCGATTGATATTGGCATCAGTAAAAGAACATAAAAGCACAGAAAGGGTTTTGTATGATGAACTGTATATCTTCATGGCATGTTCATCAAAATGTTATGTTCTGCTGATAGGTCTTGGTCATGTCCGGGATTTGATGTTCAGCAGGCTTGCTGGAGAGACTAAATGCTTTAAAATTGTTTATAGTGACAATTGTAATAATTATTGTCTGCTACACGACACGGAGGTACACCTTGATACACATCAACATGAACATGCACGATAGATAATAAGAGAGTTCAGAAAATATTTGATCGAGAAACTTCCTCTTCTTCTGTGTGCTGTCACCTTGCAGGCCGAAGTTGCTCTCCAAACGATTTCCAGTGCAGGCACCAGCTCTCCTGGCCATTATAGTATCTACTATCAGCCGACAACGCCGGACAGTGACCAGGTGTCCTGCGTCGCGCCAGAGCTGATCGAAACTAGGTCACAACCTGAGTGCCAGGCGGCCAAAAAGGGGCAAGGAACTTCGTTCCTATCTCGTCTCAAGATGTTCTTTGATGCTGACATGTTCACTTCGGACACTGGCGACGCAGACATACCGGAAGAAGATGTACTCACCGCATCCACGATACTTAACCGCATCGCAGAGCAAGAAAGAATGGAACACATCATCTCCAAGGGCGAGAATGCAGATGATGACGACGACTACCATTTCGAGAACATAATCCCAACTGTAACGTTTGACCACGTAGATGGAGAGTCGTCCCCGCACGATACCTGCCCAGGCAATGAAAACCCTGCAGAAACTGCACTAGGGCATGGAGACCAGGGATTGCTTCGACCCGATAGCAATTCGCCGGTCAGTGGCTATGATGCTGTAGCGCCCATTCGGCGTCGCAGCATCAGCTCAGCACCAAAAACGAACTCGACAGTCGGCTCTGACACGTATTTCGTGTACCCCATTCTCGCTCCCCGTCACTTCAGCAGCACATCTGATGTGAGCTTGGAAAGGGGACACCGGCACTCCAGCTGGGATCTCACCATGCAACAGCACAGCTTGGCTCAGTCATCTGGCGAACACAGTGCCCGCTCCTCTACTGGTACTCCCACACCAGTGGCTGATGGCAGGGCAGCAACTACCTCTGTGCAATCTACCAGTGCCAGGCATCAGCTTCCTGCCGGCAAGTCACGAAGCAGCAACTGTCTTCGACGACATGTACAAGCCTCTTTTGAAGGTGACTCGCCCTCAGAGCCAGATGAAATCATGACGTTGCGCCGACCAGTACCTGTGGAAAGCGCAGAAGCCATCAGTAACGAGATCGAGTTGAGGAGGAGGCAAGTTGAAGACAGACTGGAGAAACGGAACACCCTTGATCGCCTGGTGCAAGTCAGTCACAAATTGGCTACTGAAATGGCTGATAGTGCAGAAGCTGGTGGAATGGATGTTACTCCCCATTGTGACCAGTCCGATGACGCGGACACTCACGAAATCTCCACTGCTCCGGAGCGGTGTATTGCGGAGCCGGAACAAAAAGGAAGACACATCTCTTTCGCTGAAGTTCATACTGAACAAATGGCACCATGCAGAGACAGTAAGTAGAGATATTTGTTGTAACTTGTAACGTTACATTAATTAAGTTAAATTGTCCAAGAGGGGTGGGTAATATAAAATCCATAGGGCCAGTCAGGATGGTCACTGACTGGGCTGGTCACTGTTCTTGTAATTGGACTATGCAACTGTTTTGTTCATACAGCGAAGCAGACTAAGAAATGTTCAATATCTCATTGATAAATTCTCAAACGCTTGATCAAACGCTTGATTTCGTGTAAGGGTAATACAGACATTCCCTGCTTAAACCCTTCCGAAAAGGCAGACTCGCCTTCTGTTCTTTAAAAAAAAAGTTATCATCTCAAACTGTGTTAACAGCAGCTGAGAAAAATGATGAGAAACTTGTGTGCAGCAGTGTGCTGTATTCAAACGGACCATTCGCATGTGTTTTTTCTCTTTCTGACCATGTTCAGGCAACATGCCACCAACTGAGCTACGACTGAGCTGGACTGATGACGGCAGACATGTGACCATCTATGTGGAGGAGGCACGGAACGTTTGCTTCAGCAGCATTGGAAAGACGCTGCCATCAGGTACATACGAAACATTACCGATACAAATATTCTACATGACAACCTTCAATAACATGGATGCAGGGAATGCGATTTTCGGGCTTTGACGACTAACTGGTGAGCTGATCTACTCACCTGCCCCATGGCTTTAGGAGCTGCATCTGCGCCTTGATCCTTGAAGGGTGGTGGCGTTCCTACGGATGCGGAAAACTCGGCCTCTAGCCGGGTCTGACGCGAACTGTGAAATTTTAGTTTAAAAAATCACTGACAAGACCTTAAAAATCGAAACAGCTGTATGAAGAAACTGAGTATCCGTGGAAGTGGCGCTTTCCTGATGGTGTGCTAAGGCAACGTGTCGGGGTCAATTTGTCTGGAAAACGCCTGTTATATTCTATCCTAAAAATTCAAAATCCATCTTTATACGACATAAAGCTTTCCAAGTTTCCAGTAAAGGCCCCAAACACGTTAAGACAACTCGTTGCTCTAGCGCCAGAGTGCTCAAACTGCGAAAGAAGCGTAATGCAGCAGCCCTGAAGCAGCCTACTGAGAGCGCTCAACAAGACCAATATCGAGAAGCGAGATACCCAATGCTGTAGACAACAAGCTGTTTCGGCCATGAAGGCTTCATCAGTGCCGCTACGAGCTTTAAGTAAGCCGAGTTGCCAGCCATGGTGCAAAGGTGGCACCACAGACATTAAGACAACTCGTTGCTCTAGCATAGAAAACATATAATATTATGTTTCTTTCCATTCGAATTTCAATGGCTTTGTTGTGCTCGTAGAGTTGGTGGACGGAGACCACAACGGCTTATTCGTTTTGCTTTTTGATGCCCTACAGGACTTTATTGCAAAGCCCATCTTCGCACCAAGGAAGGACGCAAGCTGAAGGCTAAAAAGACCAGCACCGTTCGCTTTACCCCGCATCCTCACTTCAACGAGAGGCTTGTGTTCGATGCAACTGCTCGCGGCGGTGACATGAAGGTAGGTGACCTTATGATCTGTTATAATTATTTATTTATTTATTTTATTCCAAGCAATACATGGCTGGGGTAGCCAATGACCACTTTGCGTGGCGATTTCAGGGTTTTTATAGCCAACCATGGCTATAATATAGATCGTGGACTGCATTCCCTCTTTCCTTCTTCTCTTACAGTCTATCCAGAAAAAGATTGTATCCTAGCTTTTGGCCATAAACGGGTCAGATTTTGAGTTTTCGTCACAATATTTTTGGCAATCACCCATGGAATGCTCTTCCAATTGTGCTTTTGAAGTCTATTTTTCCAAAAAGCAAGCCATAACAAGAATAGGATTTCGGCCAGGTTTTGCCACCAAAGCACCGAATTGGGTAAAAACCATGAAAATCCAGGCCGTTCAGTCCAGTTGCATGACAGTACATTTGCGGTTCGAACCCCAGTTGAGGTGCCTTTTTTGGATCCTTTTTCAAGTTTTGAATCGCGCGGCACTGCACAGTGTACCACCAAATAGCCAAACACGGGAGCTCTCCAGAGCCAGCGCTCATCTTTTTCTGGATGGACTGTAGATGATTTGGAAATGAATGATTGTACAAGTAGCTTGCATAATGGCAAGCGCGTCATCTAGGATTGATGCTTACAGCTTCCTAACGTTACCTGCATTCGTATAGATTACACAAACCTCTACTATTAGACGTATTTACCTGTTCATATGGACATCTTATTCAATCATGTATATATTCCGTTGTTCTGTGTTTCTCCGCCACCCCCCCCCCCTCCCTTCCTCCGTACAGATGATGCTGTGGGCCTCCTCTGGTGCCTTAGGTCGACACCAGCTGTTATGCAGTACTGCGCTCACGACATCCAGTCAAGCATCACCCACTGATACCTCAAAGGATTGTGGTGAGGGTGATACGCCCCCGCCTGAGGCTTCTGCCCCGGTCGAGCGGCCCAGCAGCCCCAAGTCCCCCATGGACAGGCACTGGTACGCACTAAGGCCGGAGACAACCTCTCTGCCCCGGCAACGACGTATAGGAGATTCTCCAATAAAACTGCCCAGCGTCCTACATCGCTTCAGTCATAAGCGTTCCAAAGCCAGAGGGCATTTTGCAGACAGGCGTCTATCCGTTTCAACTGGAAACCTTGAAGAGAAGTCCGCAAATTCATAAACAATTTGTGGACGTGGATTTACACGTTGCCCTTGATACTATCCGCACTTGATTTGATAACGAATTTGAGTTGTGAAGAAGCTTGAGTAAATTCTTAAAATATTTCAACCAGGCATACTCATTTTCGTAATACAATATTCATTTTTAACCCAAATATTTAGCACATGTCACATATAAAAATACAGGCAATTATACGCACTAATCGTAGATCTACTCTTGTTCTTCCTCGACATGAGCTTCTGACCAGCCATAAGAAGGTATTCCTCGGCAGCACGCACAGTCGGGGCAACGTGTGATGTAGGGAGGATTATTATAATTATCGGGAAAACCATGAGGCGGACATACAGACAGGCAAACGAGGCTAAACCACCAGTAAAGAGTGAAAAGTGGATAACAGATTGAAAGAGACGATATCCGTACTAGTAGCCCGTGCATAACGTGCTCTGCTGCCAAATTGGCATCAGGCTTCAAAATACCCTTCCAGGTCGCTAAACGGCCCTGCTTACATGTTCCCATGGCACTAGTTGTGTCATCACTCTTGGACTCTGTCGATGCACCCGTTAACAGTGTGGTTGACAAGCAAGGTGGGGTCATGTGGTGCAAAAAATATATACAGTGAAGTTTCCAATGATGTAGGCAGCAATTAAGGCCTCATCAGTACAGCTACGAGCTACATAGGCCGAGCTACCAGCCATGGTGCAAAGGAGGCACCATAGACATTGAGATAGCTGGTCGCTCTAGCGCCAGAGTGCTCAAACTACAAAAGGTAGCGGGAATTGCGTGATGCAGCAGGACTAGAGCAGCCTACTGAGAATGCTCAACAAGACGAAAGCAGTGAAATTGTCTGTACATTAGAACTCCCCTTATCCGGGCAGGTTTGCCCTGGGCTCTGCATTCAGGGATTGATCGTAATGTCATCATCCATGCCTCTCTCGCTCTTTCTCTCCCTCTCTCTCTCTCTCTCTCTCTCTCTCTCTCTCTCTCTCTCTCCCTCTCTCTCTCTCTCTCTCTCTCTCTCTCTCTCTCTCTCTCTCTCTCTCTCTCTCTCTCTCTCTCTCCCTCTCTCTTTGTGTCTCTGTCTCTCTACTTCTCAATCTTTCCGTCTTTTCTGTCCCTCTGTATGTCCGTCTGGCTATCTGCTCGGCTGTATGTCTGTCTGTATGTCTGTCTGTCTGTCTCTGTCTGTCTGTCTCTCTTTGTCTGTCTGTCTCTCTCCCTCTCTCATTATCTTTGTGTGTTCGTGTATGTGTGTGTGTGTCTCTCTCTCTCTCTCTCTCTCTCTCTCTCTCTCTCTCTCTCTCTCTCTCTCTCTCTCTCTCTCTCTCTCTCTCTCTCTCTCTCTTTCTCTCTCTTTCTCTCTCTCTCTCTCTTTCTCTCTCTCTCTCGCTCTCTCTCCCTGGCTTGAACACGTTTCCCCGCCGAGTCTCAATCCTTCATGACTCATCAGATCAACAAAGCAGTATAGTCAGGACATTAGCCATGTCCTATGCAAGGAGATCTACCTATTTCTAAAATTTATCTCTTGAATCTCTTGAATCATATAATTTCAATGTAAAAAAAAGAGAAGAAACACATGTAAACGAGCTATGCAGCAACTATCCAGAGGATTGTTACAAGTGACAGTCGTGGATAGTTGCTGCATAACTCGTTCTCATGTGTTTCCTTTCGTTTTTTTTTACATTTTATTACTGGCTCAATATCCGAGTTCATCTATTTTCATTCTTCTCGCGCTGTAATGCATATCCGGTTTGGCATAGCTCTATTTGCGAATCTAACGGATGTCAGTATCCAACCAGAGGTACAAGTTGAGCACAGTGCTGAGACGCTGCCGTATTTCGTTTCCCTTAGTTAGGCACGACATACCTGTACACATACAAGGAAGTGCTTGGGTCATCGAAAAATAAAATGAGTGCAGAGATGCCGACCAGTTTAGCATGCGAACTTCCGAAACACTTGTGCCTGTGGAGAATTGCGTATTCAATGAGCTTGTTCATTTACATGTTCCGGTAGAGGGTAGACGACCCGGCATCACACTGCGATCCCTAGCTCGTAGGCGGCTTGTGTGCAAAACTGAGCAGCACATAATGATGGGCATTATTCGCGGCGCTGGAGTGCTTTCGAATAAAGAGGTAATTAATACCTGACTAGCACATACACTGTACTCATAATTTGTGCTGAGGCCTTACTTTGAAATATAGAGATAATTATCCAGTATGGCCGCGATCAAGCCACGATTTGTGCTATACCTAGACATATATATATGTACATGTACATTATGTATTACACTCGAATCTTCAATTTGATCAATCACGGAGTATAATTGCATGCTGAACCAGGAGGGAAGACTGTGGTGCTCGTGGGACACACATCGACAGTCATCCAGCTCTTTTTGCGTTGCCCTGCAAGTAGCCGTAAAGTAGGTATCCCAGATATACATGTACATGTGGGGATGAAATACGTGTACATTGTACATGTAGTGCAGTTTCTGACTGTTCAACCCCTAGGCTAGCACAAGCATCAAGGAATAGAACCGATTGGCCATTTTGAAATTCAAACACTTAGCGATCCGAGGAAATGCAATCGAGATATTCTGAGGTCACTAACAGACAATCTCACCTACATGTATGACCATGACTTGGGGACACGCATTACGTGTACCAACTACCAAATTATTGCTTGGTATTATGGCTTATAATTATACTCAATTTACCCTTCGTTCTTCTTTCATGGGATGGCGTTGTGGCTGGACTAAAGTTCAGTTTTCCCTGTGATTTCAAATACTGGTATATTTACAAATCAATGCATACGCCAGCCAACTAGCCAGTAAAAAAAGGAGGACAAATATTTCCCCTTCAGGACGTACAAGTATACATGCACATGTATGTAGGTATTGACAATCAAACAACGTCACTCTGGGTACCATTTCCGGGGTAAACCTCTTTGTAGGGAAAGGAGAGCTTGATGAAGCAGGCTATGCCCTCCAGGAGGTCACTTACATGAGCATGTACATAATATTGTGATTCTAGTTTTAAGTTGTAAGACCAAACAGTGCGAGAGGACTAATGTGATGGGGGGCAGATAGTATTGTATTGTTATTATTATTTTACTTGGGCGTTCCCAACAGACCCTAAGGTCTTCTTACAGGGTGCTCAAGATGAATGAATGAGATAGTAAAAGACGGTGGGAGCTTTACCCTTTTGCGGACACATGAAATGCCTTTGTGTAAAAAAAAAGCACCACTCCCTGCTCAATACTCATGATCAGTAATCTTGAGTAGGCTTATGAAATTTCTGCTCCGAGCGCAATGCATTATGTATTGCTCTCCGAGCCAAACCATAACTACAGTCCATCTCAAAACTATAGACGCGTAGGGTTTTTGAAATATTTCAAATTTGGCTGGAGCATTTTGAGAATATTTTTCGGAATATTGCTCAGGTCTGCTCCACAATTACTCTCATATAGCTTCTAAACGATTGGATAACAGACGCCCAATTTGGAAAAATTTATGCACAAAGTGATCACAGATTTTATGTGGTATAGATGCTGGCATAACGGTTTTTGCCTAGGTAGATGTACGCGTCTATAGTTTTGAAATGGACTGTAGGGACACCAACTTACAGTTACGCTCGCTTCCCACACAAAAAGCCTATTCAAGCTCACTGATCATGAGAGGTGTATTCTCCGAAACACTGTGTATTGATCAGGCCGAGGGAGTGGAGGTTTCTAGCAGGTTTGTATAGTGTAAGGTTCGACGGGCTTCTCGTGTGCTCCAGGCGCAGTCGTGAGTCAGTCAAGTGCCAAGTCAGTCGGGGCAGGAAGCGTGAGCTCCGGCGCTCGGAGCAGACACTTTCTTCACTAATCACCGCCGATGTCGCAACACCTTTCTTAGAGAATACAAATGAAGCACGATCTCCAGTGCGACGTATCAGATATGTAATATTGGTCACATATTCTCAGAGGGAGGATAAAGACTAGTCTCTGTGAGGATTATTTCATTATTTTTGAGACATAGTATAATTGATGTGTTGCCTTGATCCTAGAGGGTGGTGGTGTTCCCACGACGGATGCGGAAAACTCGGCTTCCAGCCGAGTCTCACGCGAACAGTGAATTCTTTTTTTTATATAATTGATGTCAAGTTCCAAAAGTAAAATTCACCTCTTTCTTTGTATGCATACTAGTATCCAGGTTGAAAGTAAATTTTCAATCGATGATGAGTAGCCTGCTAAGATTAGAACATTCCGTATTGTGCGACACAGATATGAACCAGCATGGGACTGCGTTTATGCAGTATGTGTCACCTCCGACTACTCTTTGTCCGTACGTGTGTCGGTTCCTTCCGCATTCTTCTTCTGTACACGCAGGAGTTGTTCCTATTCTTTGTTTTCCTGCGCACCACCTGCGAATGTGTCACTCCAGAGGAGTAACACATGTAGGGGCAGTAATGTTCGCCATTGGTATCCATCACGCAAGAGCCGCTCCAGGCTAACTGTGAATTTGGGCATTGCCTAGATCAAACAATGTAGATCTAAATGGCTCTTGGACTCCATAACTGTCACAGATTCAAGAGCGCAGACAGTTCCAGGAACAATACTCACCGCTGAGTGGTACACGGGCACATCAAGACGTCCAAATTACGTTGTAGGAATGAATACCCACTGCCCGTCTTAATCTGCCCACGGTACGTGCTAGGTCTGGGGAAATGAGAAGGATACTGCAGAATTCTACAATTGTCTTCTAACCCACATGTACATGTTGACTTTTGACATACGTTTTGGAACTAGCTCTTCCTTTCGGTGTTGAGCAGTCTATTGGAAACAGCCTGGAACCTCTCTGTTTTTCATCTAGACTTTTTACATACGTGTGCATGTAGAGGCGAAATCTACTAGATGTTCCCGCAGACCGCTGTTCACGCTGCATTGTCTGCGGCCAGAGTACTCCAACCAGCCCCACACAACCCCTTCCTGGCTTCCTGCTGCGTCTCGCAGTCCATCTGGTGGACAGACGTGACGGACAGTAGTCAGCTTCCGGCGGAGCACAGTCTGCGGCCATCTGCTCATTTCCTAGCTCGGGCTAATGGATGGCTCGAGCGACAACAATGTTTTCTTAAATTAGATGTTCGAGAACCGGCACACACTCGCGGCCAAACCTTGCGGTGAACTGCATGTACCTCAAGGTGCGAATCAGCAAACGTCGGAAGGGTTGTGTTCGTACTGAAGTACAACTACGATT